AATGGTGAAGGTATTTTTAATGAAAGAAAAATATGTCCATTCCATATTAAGAATATTATATATTTTCTTCACTACGGTTTTAGGATTCTGTATTTAGCTATTATATTCTGTTTAATATTAGAAATATATAAACAATCTTTTCTCTTTATTATTACAAGATTTAAAATCTTTACTTAACAATTAAATAAATTAAAAATAAATTAACAATTTTTACATATTTGGGAATATTACTTTGTTATAACAATAATTATCAGAATATTGTAAAATTTATTTCATACATATATTTTCGATTGTGTTTTTATTATAACAGGACTTTTCTCTATATACCAAAAAAAAAATAATAACGTATATAGTTGTGCCCTCTATCGAGCAATGGTATATAGTTGTGCCCTCTATCGAGCAATGGAGAAACTTATTTTAGAATAATAAAGATCAATATCGCCAACCCTCTGTAAAGGGGTGGGATTTCTTTAACTGAATCCTTTCAAAAACGATTTTTTTATTCAGAAATATTTGGGGGAACTTTTGTTAACTTTTATTTTATGTTAAATTTCATGAATATTTCTCAGCTATTAATTTTTTTTTTGCAAGTTTTGAAATTACTAGTTCAGTATGACTTGAAATTGACATGAAAAATCGTTCAATGTTTGAAACAGGGGTTTGAAAAATCCAGCTTATTACAAAAACAAAATATTTAATGTGTTAAATCATTATGTAATTTAAATCTACATAAAATTTTCTACAAATGCTGAAATTTTCATAATTTTACTACTATGTTTACATGTTTACTATAATGATTTTAAGACACTTGAAAACTTGTAAGAAAAAATAGAAAAAATTGGAAAATTTTCGAGTTTTTTCCATAAAATTAATAACAAAAGGGCGTAGAACACGAAAATCTAGGCCATTTTGTTGTGACGATTTCAATATGACCTGTAGGTAACATTTTAACTACCATGAAAAATCGTTCGAAAACAAGGGTTCGAAAAATCCAGTTTCTTACGAAACCAAAGCTCTTAAAGTATTAAATCATTATAGATTCTAAATCTACATAACATTTCCTATAAATACTAAAATTTTCATAATTTTACGACCATGTTTACTATTTTTTTGAAAGCTTCGAAAATAGTCAAAAATTGAGCAATTTTTGGACTTTTTTTCATACATAGATACTCATGAAATTTATCGATTTTGGTCAGGTCACTGATTTGATAAAACTACTGTTTTTTACTAATTAAAAAGCGCAAAACACGAAAATATAGTCCGTTTTGGTCGTTCGAGTTCAGTATCATCCGTAGGTAACATTTTAGCACCATGAACAATCGTTCAAAAACACACAAGGGTTTGTAAAATTCAAATTCGTACTAAACCAATACACTGATGCTATTACAACATTATATATCCTAAATCTACATAAAATTTCCTACAAATACTGAAATTTCACGACAATGGTTACTATTCTTTTAAGAGCCTTGAAAACTTTATAGCCAAAAATGGGCAATTTTTTTACTGTTTTCCATAAAAAAAACTCTATTCCAAAACGTAGTCAAGTTTTCGAAAATTTTGTGCTCTTCACCAAGATATTCTTTGAAGTATTATGAAAAATCTAAGTTACATTAACTTAAACTTTTCAAACTTTAAAACTGCTCTAATTCTGCTATAATTTAATTATTGGAAGATCATAGACAAAGTTATTTTAAGTAACTAGCATTTGTATATATAAAAATACCCTCTGTTTATAGTTAATCGAAACTTAAACAAAATTTGCTTCAACTAGAATACCCTCTTTCTCCAAACCGCTCTTAATATTTCAGCAAGAAGCAACCTCCTCAAGCATCACTAATTGAAACCGAAGAAATTAATGGAAAAGAGGCTTCCAGGCTGCTCTATCGGCGCACAAAGGCAGAGGGCGCTCATTGGGGGTTCCTCCTTCACCTCCCATTATAGCTGGCGGCTCCCCCCAACCCCTCGACCTGTCACACTACAATACCAGCAGCCGGCTTTAAGTTTCTACATGCACAACTCATTAATTCCGACGTCTTCCTTCGTCGTCCCCCCCCCCCCCCCCCTCTCCCCACCCGCGTCTTGC